CTTTGTTGGATAACGGATGAAAATACCCTCTTTTTCGCCGCACGCGATTTCGCTGTCCGACAAGTGTTAAATTGTAAAGAACATTTGCCAATGTTTGCTCAGGCTATTTTAGAATTTTTCCGACATTGCGCCGACTACAGAGGGCGCCTCATATAGGAAGCAGAGCCTCTGCCTGCATTCGTGTCTACTCAGACAATCGCCGGGGGCAGGCGGGCACCGGAAAAATAGATTGCTGATCTCTCGCACCCCGCTCGCGGATTTTTTGGAAAGCAATCAGGACTTTTCGGAAGACCGCTTGCTGAGTTCTCGATTCCTCAGAGATTCAGCAATATATCTGCAAAAGATAAGAGCGAAAAAAATTCAACAGGCGGTCTCTCAAAAATCCGCTGACTCAGCGAGCGGTCTTCCGAAAAGTCCTGATTGCTTTCCAAAAAATCCGCGAACGGAGTGCGAGAAATCAGCAATCTAGTTTTCCGGTGCCCGCCTGCCCCCAGCGATTGTCTGAGTATGTACTTCGTTGTTTTCGTCCATGTTTGTCTACGTTCGTTTATTTCGCAAACTTAAAAAACTTCTTGCCCTCAATCCGACCAAGTTGGCATACAAACGCTTCAAAAAATGAAAAAAACGGTTTTTAATCTCTCTCTCTCTTGCTTATTACTTGCTATTTATTTGCTCTAAAATCTAAAAAGCGCTTCAAAACTCCATCAATGATGCCACTTTGTGAAAGTGGGCTGTAGAGTTTCTTTCTTTTACAGGACGTAGCGCATGAATTGTAGGGTAGGGTTTGGGCTACGCTGTACTTGGGTGGTCTACTGCCTAACACTACCAAAATCTGATAGGGTCCAATTTGCTGAGCCACTGCCTTTGATTTCGTGGAGAAAAAATCAGTGAAAAGTGAACAGTAATAGAAATCATGGTAGTCACGTATTAGTTTGCATCTTAGAAATTGGAACTCTTTCGATGATTCTTTTGCACATTCCAATCTAAGAAAAGCATACTTCTCCTACCATTTGGGCATACTGCACAAGAAATACAAATGGACAAAAGGATTTGAGCACTTCCTGCGAATATGCACCTTGTAACCGATGACGAAAATTCCGTTTGAAAGTAGAATTTGAAAAAAATATAGATTTTCTTGTCATGTATAGCAAAAATATCTATAGGATAAAATATAGCTACTACTTGCATCATGACAATTGATCAAACTATGCAGAGCTACTACTTGCATCATGACAATTGATCAAACTATGCAGATTCATGAACGTCAGCTATGCAATCTTCGAAAACCAAGCGAGACTACCATATGCGAGGAAATTCTTGAGTAAAGAATTGAATAAAGTAAATGCAAGTTTTGTTGCACAGAAGACATTCGCTGATGTCCATTCCTCCGAACATTTGAGTCGCGAAAGCGTGTCAGGCGTACAGTCGCTTTTAGGTTAGCTCTTCCGTGTGTGTCGAGAGATGGGAAAATAGTACACGGATTTGAGAGGCACATTGCTGACGTAATGGGTTAGCGAAACCAGCGGAGCACTTGTGAATACCGATCTAAGGTTCGCGAGCCCACTGGGTTCCGGAACCCACAGGGTTCTTTGATTAATACGGCCACAGTGGTTGATAGGCATCAGACCTGCAGTGTGTAAACATATGGGCACTTGCAGATCGGCCATTCAAAATGTTCTTTCCTCTAAATGCTTCCAGCTGGTATTCTCTTGTTGCAGGAGAGTGATTACAAATACTATGGTTTATTGGCATTTAGAGAATATCCGTTTTTGCCTCGCACGATCTTATCAAAGCTCGTGAAATGAGTACTCAGTAAAAACAATGCGAAGATGAATTGAAAGAAAGTGTTTATGATTGCAACTCTGGGAGTTTGCCATCTAGTCAGGATTAGAGTTTGTCTACGAGGGGAGATTGCTATTGCCTACAGTGACGTGGAGCAATGGATGACAACAACGAAATATAAGTTGGCAGCTCAGAATCAGAATAGACTAAAACACTTTCAGAAACAGTATGGACTGAACTCTTGTTTGGGCTCTTGGGAAGTGGTGAAGGTGGTGAAAATTTAAGATTCACATATATAACAAGCAGCAAAATCTCAGGAAATCACCATTATTGAGCAGACCAGTCTTTTCAGCTACTTGGGTTGTACTAATAATTCTCTCCCATTGAGGCGTCTCTCAAAATACAGTACAAAGCAAACAAACGTCAAAATATTTTATTTTATTTTATTTTATGCATACACTCGTGAGGCACCATTAAAAAAACCGAAAAGGAACAGAAAATCAGGCAGAACAGAAATAAGATAAAGGATCAACTTATCCTCAGTCAAAGAAGGAAGAAGAGTTATATAAATGGAAAACAAGACCAAACAAACAAATCGAAGCCCTATAATGACGCTATAGCCATTATTTGCAGCATAGCAAAGGAAAAAGCGCTACGTCCAGAATAGTTTATAGAATCTTGCTTCTTCTAAAGTTAATGAAGACCCTGTTTTTGGGTGCCAGCGAGCCCCCGATAAAAGCTAGCTGACTTATCCCCGGCTGAATAGTTGCTTTAGAAGAGAGCAAGATTCGTTGGAAGTTGTAGGGATGGAAATCTACCAACTATGCGCTACTGATATCCGACAAAGGTGGGGTGGGACTGGGCTACGGTGAAGGGATATGATGTGAACTCAAGATTCTGATGAATGAGGCTGGTTGATCTGATCATTAGTGGAAGCACTATGGTTAGTAACAAAACAAACAATGCAAATAGCAGTCATTCTCTATCCTTATAGTGGACTATCCAAGCGAAGCGAGCCAGAAAGCAAAGCATCATGATGGAAAGACGAACTGAGGCAGTACGAAGAACGCGAACACCACATTGAACAAGGCTCATCTAAATATCAGAAATATCAAGAAGCTGAAGCACATTCACATCTTGCAATTTTTTACGAAACATTTTTGAGTTTTCGCTTGATATGATATGATTTGGTAATGCAGCAAACCATCTAGATGTTCGATAGGTGAAGGAATTGAAAGTCATTAAAAGATGTTTTCTTGCTAATTTGCGATATTGCAAACCAAACCTACCTGTTCTGTCACTGCACGGCCTAAAAACCCAGTATTTACTGGCTTTTAGGTTAGTTTCTAAATTCAGAATCCGAAAGCATAGTGCAAGTTCGTTAACAACACGCCTATACTTCAGACTATGAAGGTGTAGCATATCGAGACGGGTACGATAGGAGGGTCAGGCATGAGGATATCCTGGATGGAAAGCATCGATAAAAAAAGAACCCTCGTGAAAGTCTTTTGAATTTTTTCAACTTTATCGATGTTTCTTTCCAAAAATGGACTCCAAATGGGCGAGGCATACTCGAGATGAGCTAGCACGTAACTTTTGTACAATCGCAAGAAAATTTTCGGATCGTTACTACGTATATTTCTGAAAGTTGTAAAAAGCGTTGAAGACGACTTCTTTATGATAGTATTTACATGAGTATCGAAAGTAAGAGAATCATCTATCATAACGCCAAGATCGCGAACTGAATTAGAGATTTCCAGATTGATACCATTGTATTGGGTTGATTCATAATTAATGCACGTTTTTCCTACCTCTTCTTCCAAGAGCTGGTATTTGATATGTAATCAATTTCCTCGAAAACTTTTTAACTAACTAAAAGGGCGTTTTTTCTAGTTTCCTGTGCGGGCCTTCGCTTTCGTAAATCTCCGCTCATTCCGAAGTTCTGAGAATTCAAATAAAATAGACTAAATCTCAAAATTTTTCATTTTCACTCTTTTTGCCCTAAATCCATGAGGAATAGCCGTATTGATTTCAAAAAATATGCATAAGAATTAGGTAACTTTGTGCTACAAGATGTTATTTGAACAAAATTTTCCATGGATTCTGAGCCGACAAATTCAATTGCGAACTTGAATGATTGTCGCGGCCCTTCCGTGCCATATAAAACTTTGAAGCAAAAGGCGATTGCAGGTCTTTTGCACTATCCAGCAAGGGTAGACCTAGTTCATTTGATGGTAGAAAAGCGCTAGGGTTTCTCGCTTTCCAGCGGAGAAAAATTGAATATTTTCAAAAATGACCGATTTTTGAACCCGCCGAGATGCCAGAAAAAAGTGAGTACTTTCGACTTTTTCGCGATATTTTCTTACAAAAAATTTCCATACTATCCAAACTTGGCAATACTGCTCAAGAGACCCTTGGCTACACGATGAGCGAAGTCTGCTTTATCCTACTTTATTTCAACACAAGTTATGCTCTCTCAAAGTAAAGGCTTCTGAAAAAAGCTGTTGGCAATCTTCAGGCCAAAAAATCTTTCTTGTGATAGATACAGTCACGCAAAGTATCTATTTTATAGCCACTGATTTGATGGTTACATTAGATTTTAGTGCGCCCAGAAATGTCTTTTCAAAAAAGAATTATCTCGGTTGAAAGTCGAAGTATAGAAAACGTGCATTAATTATGAATCAACCTAATAGTTGTACATACAACACTGGGAATTCCCAAGGTGCATTACCGTAGTAAGGTATAGTCCGTCTTGTACCGTATTGATCTGAGAATGCATCTCCACCATCCTTCATAACATAAGATTTCATTATAACTGCTCAGTGAGGTACCCCTAACGATAGGGGACTGATATCGTGTGAGAAAGGAAGTAGGGACTGTCTGGGAAACCAGCATAGCTAAGCAGAGCTCGTGCAGTACTATTTGATTTGTTGTCCTCCTTTTCGACTATCCTATTTTGTTTTCTATTTTGCGAGAAAAATTTAAGGGAACATCTACAGATATAGATCTATTTAGGCGCTTGTATGACTCAGCAGTGGACTCTTCAAAACAAGACGGCATACTAGAGTTGCACCATGTTCCGGATAGTTCTGTGATCAAATGAGATTGGTCAATGCTGTCCGGTTTCTAGCGTCCAGCGCTCCCGGACGGTACATAAGCAGAGAGGGTTGTGTTTGGACGGTTCGAAGAAGGAACGAAGATTTCTTGACCATTCGGCAATGATCTGGCTCTACCTGCTCTTCTTACTGCATGTTGTGGGTGAGTAATCGTCGTTTCGACTCGCTACTTCTCGCAAAAGGTTTTCCAATTATGATTGAGAACAGAGTAATTTTCTTACAACGTTCATGCCATTAAAAGAGAAATATACATTAATGATATAGTCTTTGAATAGAGATCGTCGTTAGATGAAATTCAAGTCACTGAGGCGATTCTTCACAGATTAATACTCTTCTGTAACTCCTTTTATCGAAAAAAAGGAATTAGCCAAATCTATAAGCTTGTCTTCTTGAATTAGCACTATCTTCGCGCCCTGTAGTAGCTATATTTTATTTCAGTGCTTTTTCCACAATGCTTGTATAACAGACGTGATGGTCTTACCACTGCGTTGCTTCATTTTCTCTTTTGCTTACAAATTGAGTCCATGCCACCTTGTTTATGATTACTGAGGTATTTGCAGCTTCTCCAATGTCTGTCCGAGCTTCCAGAGCGTTTGCTTGAGTAATCTCATTGTTTGCGAGTTTCGCATGTTTGTTTATTTTTGATTGCTTCACGCGGCAAGGAAACTCGACTCGGGTATCTGAACCTCTATTGCTTTTTCTAGATTGGATGCATCATTCCGTTCAGACCGTGATCTCCCATCAAGGGAAGTCACGTTGGATGAGTGATTGCAGTATCAGTTTAACACATCTTTTACTTTTCGGATGTCTTTGATGTGAACTAAACTGAACCTAGATGCTGCCAAGGCCTAGGATTCTTTGCTTAGACAAGCACGTGAGAAAAAAACAACTTTGTTAGCTTGTATGCGCTCTAACAATTAGAAAGCGATAACTGATGAACTTCCAAAACCCAAAGTTTATTCCGACTTTTGCCTCTCTCTTAGCACCTACTGATTTGGAGGACTTGTATCTGTTGAAATTCTCATATATAGCTCGTTTTGTAAGTGGGGCAATAGCATGTTTGAGAAAGAAGAAAAAACTTTGAAAACAAAATACACTTTTGCACATGATTGTTATTGTAGAATAGAGTTCGTGACTTACAGACTTACTGACTGCTAGTAAGTAAATTGAGGGTGGCTGTATAATGTGCTGTTATTGATACCAGATATCTTAATATGCAGCTGATCAATCCTCTAGTTATTACGGTATATGTGCGGTGTTTGGATACGGTTCCAGTTTGGTCATTGTGGCTTGAGGCGGCTCAGCTAATAACAAACGTACACGATGCTGCTGTCGAAAAAGACCCTTTGTTTGTGAGAGCAAAGCGTCATGAGATCGAGAAGAACACGTGCTATTTGCAAGGCATTCGAGCATACAAAAGCTTGACATGTGTAAGAATGAACAAGAATGATCTTAGTTTCCACTTTTTTCATAGGAGCTGAATCCTTGGCTGGTAGAATGTGCATGACGGTCGAGCTTTACCGGACAGCGCCCAATTCGAGCCAGTTTTATGAGTGCGCACCGTTTGCCAAGGAGGAGGTCGGTTGTGCTGAAAAGTATTTTCGGAAACATTTAACACTACGGCCGATTTCTGACTGGCTTATCCGGAGTCTTGTCTACTTTGCAAGAACACTTGGGTAAACAATCCCGACAGTGTGATTTTTTGCAGGTCATCGAATACAAGCTGGCAGATAAATACCTCGGTGTATGGAATCTCCGAGATTGCCCGGAAAATTTCGACTTCAATGTAGAAAAGCAGAAATGTGTCGAACGAAAAACTATGCGACGTCAGCAAGCGGCTTGTGCAAAGAATCCTACAAGTAGTGGATGTCAAGCGCCCTGTACAGGTGTGTGCAAATAATCTTATTCGTCATCACGAGTTCTCAATCTGATCAGCTATATAAGACCTTAAATTATGTTTGAAATTCAACAAATGCAATGTATTAGGTCGCTCCGAAAGTAATGTCGCTTTTTTCAAATGAACACCACATTTTACAGAATCAAGATTTCTAAGAGATCTTAGGAGCATTCGATGCAGCATTTCATACTCTTTCTAATGGCTTCAATTTCATTGCATAATTTTCAGTGAACTCTCGAAAAATCAACAAAATCTTCGACTCATCTTTTTGTCATGGTCAAGTTCGGCTATTTTTCTAAATTTCTCTACCTATTCTCCGTAGAAGCACAAGCGGCTGGTAAAAAGAGCAAACCTTATGGGATACAGAGTAATTTTTTTCTTTTCCTTAGCTTGCTTCTTAGAGTTGCTGGAATCAATTTTAAAATGCCATCAAATTCCATATTTGGTCAACTCAAACCTCACAGAACAATAACCGGCAAGCAACTCGGGTGTCATTCGACGCAGCTTTTTCTCCTCTTTCCAACAGTTGTTTTTGGTTTCCGATTTATCAAGTCTTCCGAGATAAAATCATCATAATTCAGGTTTTCCAGGGCACCTTAGGTTGTAACCGAAATTTTCGAAAGTTGCTAATCTGAAGCGGTAAACGCTCATTTGCTCTGCAAAGTTGATGTAAAACCATAATCCATCATTGTAAGTTTCAAAATTCGAAGATTTCTTGGTGTTTGATGCATTTGTTTCTGAGACGAGCCTGCTAAGATTCGGTGGTTCCATCAAAAAATTTATACAGAAATTATGACGAGCTCTGAAAAGTAGAAAAAAGTAGTGCTATTTCCCGTAGGGTTTGCTCTATCCATACATAACTTGGACTCTTTCCGGGGGTTGTTATAAAAATTTAGAAAAATTGTGAAACTTGACCTTTTCAAAAAGCATGGGTCGCAGATTTTGATAATTTTTCTAGAAGTTATTCAGTTTTGTGCGGTAGTTATTTAACCATTAGAAAGAGAATGAAATGCTGCATCAAACGCTACCAGAATCTCTTACAATCTTTGTTCCACGAGATGTGGCGTACGATTGAAAAAAGCGACATTACTTTCGGAACGACCTAATATATTTACTTTTCCCACAGTTATTTTATGTCGAACCAGATCTTTGACTGGGAAAAGTTCTCAGAAAATTGCAAAAAAATCAGGAAGAATGAAATCTCTTATTCATAGTGAAGCTGTCAGTTCTCAATGTAATGAAGAGGAAATCATGAGCAAGAAAGTGTGAATAGAAGTAACAGTTTTCTGACTTTTAGAGAAAGTGAAAGAGTTGGAGAATGAAAAGGAACCATCTTCTCTCATTTGGTAGTATCTCTTTCAGCACGTCATAACTCATGCATGGAGATTTTTCATTGCATAGCTAAACAGCGAAAAATCAAAAGCACAAAATCAAATTACACCACTTTGGAACGTGAGGAGTTGGACAAGCTCCTTTCGGACAAAAGCACCGCGGAATCTAATTAGTACGAATTTTTATAAGTTACTAGCTGGCTTACCCGGCTCCGCCCGGCCCTGTCATTATTTCATTCGTAATCAGCATGCTCGATTACCCCCCTGTGCCAACTCCCAGCCCCGTAGCTCAAATTTTGCAAAAAATCGATAAATTCGATATCGATCGATGACGAAAAGTAGCTTATGACACCCGCCGGGGCCCGAAGTGCATGTATGCCAAGTTTGGTCCGGATCGGTTCAGAAATGGAATTTTCTATTCGGAACATACGTACACACATACATACATACAGACATACAAACAGACATTCAGCTTTATATATAAGATCATAGCTTATATAGCTTCAGGTGAGAATCCACAGAGAAACTGTTTCCTTTGAATTCTTAATGCTTGTAATGTCCGAAATGAGAACATTTCTATGACGCCGCGACAGATCGTATATTGGTTGTGGTCGAGTTGTAATATCATGTTCGTCTTGTTATGATTTAGATTTTGTAGGCCATTCTAACAGAACTCTCGAAACAATACCTTTTAGTGAGTAGCTATTGTTGAGAAAGGCAGGCGTCAACAGTTGGGCAATGATCTCGAACACAGTTTTGATCTGATCTTCAGCCGTTCTTGTTTCCTTTTGAGGCCTCAATACTTGATTTTTACGATCGAAGCTACTCTAAAGTGTCCTAATTTCAACCTTTGTCTATTCATGCCTCCATCTTGGAAGTACATATGTAGATTGAGAAGGGATGTTGCCTGAGGCTGTTATTTGGCAATCTCCAAACTCCTAATCTCTCTTTCAAGCTGATTACGAGCAGGAAAGTGGTATGATAACATTGAATATGTTTTCAATAACATTCAGAGCTCGATTGTCGATTAATCTTGGCACATCATCCATATAACTTTGAATTATTTCAGTAATGGCCAAAATTGGTATCAATCTTTATTTCTCGGTTAACGTTTCGGAGTACAACTCCTTCTTCGGAGCTTGAAAGATCAAAAACTATGCGAAACTGTTCTTGTAAGCACTCAGTCACCTAACAGATACTTTTCAACACAAGGTAGTTGTAAGATGGAGGCAGAGACTGTAACTAAGCTATTACCTCAATAACCAGCAATGATTAGGAGCAGACCACCTATATGTATAGCGCCGTTACTGTGTACTGCTATACCACTCTTTATACAGCACAGATGAACTGACCTGACCCAGACCCGTAGGTCAAAAGCCACAAAGGGCTTGTACGGTGCTAATTCGGTCGTCACGGCAATCCACTCTTTTGATTTATTTCTGGGATTTTTCATGCTATTCAAAATGCCTCCAACATCTTTCGCGCTACTGTGTCAGGCTCCTGCGATAAGATGGTGACAGCTACGTCATAGTGGTGATCGTTATGGCATTGCCTGCGGTGGGCACTTAGAGGGGTGAACAATTTCGACTTTTCGAGCCCGTCTAAGTGCTCCTTGACCCGTACGCACAGGGGTCTGCCAGATTCCCCTAAGTACTGATCTCCATATTTCTGGCACGTAATCAGATATACTACGCCAGACTCCATGCAATTCCCCTGCCTTCCAAATGGACAAATGACGCAATTGTGATTTGTGCATAACCGGTCGTAGGCACGATTGCGTATAAGTTGTAAACTAAGGTTAGGGTGGTATAAATGATAAAAAGTTGGTAAAAATTGGAAAAATATCAACCAGCGACAAAGGTGGTTTTCGTCGTCATTTCACGTGACTTGGATGAGCCTATAACGAGACACCACCTGAGTGATAATTCTTTGCACTGCCCTTCGTCGGATAAGGAGTTCGCTAAGCAATACCGCCGCTTGAACAAGGTATGGACGAACGTCGCGCGATCTGCTAAGCTTAAAGCTTTAGTGTCCCGCTTGAAGCGTGAACTTCCCAAATGGGGCCCATAAAAAGTAGTTCAGGGGTCTCAACGATAGAATATTTTGGCTGCTTAACCTAGTTCTCAACCAGTTACTGAGGTTCATACCTGCACATTTATCAATCACCAAATGTTTTTCGAACATCTTAGTAATACGTAGTTCACTAGTGATCGTGTGATGGAGTCCTGCGATGTTACTTCCCTGTACACCAATGTTTCTAAGAAGTCTGCTATGGAAGCCGTGTTTGAGCTTCTCATGGAACATCAGGACTTTCTCCACATCTACGGCCTCACTGTTCAGCAAATAATGACCCTTTTGAGTGAGTGCTTGAACTGCTGCATTTTTTTTGATCTGGAAGGTCTTACAGACAAGTTAGAGGGTTAGTCATGGGGCAAAGAGTGGCTTCCACCGTTGCTGCCTTCATGTCCAAAATTCCCCAGTACTTGCCCGCAAGCCATTATCATACTATCGCTACATAGACGATTGTTGTGTAGTATGTCCGTCACAGAGTGAGATGGACATCTGCTTCAATCTCTTAAATATCCATTCTCCCAACATCAAGTTCAACCGCGAGACAACCAGCGAGAATTGGCTTTCTTAATGTGCGGGTATACTTATCTAAGGGGCATACAAGACGAAGTGGTTTCGTAAGCCTAGTAGCAAAAATATACTACTAGATTATAGCTCTGCAACCCTTGGAGCACTAAGAGATCCGTAGTAAGCAACATGTTCAGAACGGCGAAGGCGGTCTCTTCAAATCCGCAGGCGCACCGTATCGATGAATCTGACTACATAGATCGCGCAGTCTAACGGTTACCCCATAACAGGCAATCAGTTCAAATTCAATTATTTGCCGGGCCGTAGATCGCGCAACTTGAGCAGTCTCCAAAAATCCTTTCTGCGTTCTTCATTTGCGACGAACTTAGCAGAGCAATCAGGAGTCTGCAGCACGCGGGGCTTGCAAATGACGTAAGAGTTGTAGACATACCACCCCCTACCCTTAAAAAACAACTTACACGCAATCGTGCCTGCGACCGGTTATGCACAAATCAATTGCGTCATTTGTTCATTTGGAAGGCAGGGGAATTGCATGGAGTCTGGCGTAGTATATCTGATTACGTGCCAGACATGTGGAGATCAGTACTTAGGGGAAACTGGCAGGCCCCTGTGCGTACGGGTCAAGGAGCACCTAGACGGGCTCGAAAAGTCGAAATTGTTCACCCCTCTAAGTGCCCACCGCAGGCAATGCCATAACGATCACCACTATGACGTAGCTGTCACCATCTTATCGCAGGAGCCTGACACAGTAGCGCGAAAGATGTTGGAGGCATTTTGAATAGCATGAAAAACCCCAGAAATAAATCGCAAAGAAGAGTGCAGCCGTGACGACCGAATTAGCACCGTACAAGCCCTTTGTGGCTTTTGACCTACGGGTCTGGGTCAGGTCAGTTCATCTGTGCTGTATAAAGAGTGGTATAGCAGTACACAGTAACGGCGCTATACATATAGGTGGTCTGCTCCTAATCTCCATTGCTGGCTATTGAGGTAAGCCTTAGCTTAGTTACGGTCTCTGCCTCCATCTTACAACTACCTTGTGTTGAAAAGTATCTGCTAGGTGACTGTGTGCTTACAAGAACAGTTTCGCATAGTTTTTGATCTTTCAAGCTCCGAAGAAGGAGTTGTACTCCGAAACGTTAGCTGAGAAATAAAGATTGATACCAATCTTGGCCACTGCTCACATAATATATCAAAGTGAATATGTTACTGGGGGATTAGCATAGGAGATACCAGAGCAAGAAAATTCTAATATTATCTAAGAGGAGATGACCGAGCTATACGTTCCGCTGTACAATCTTGTCAGAGGCAGTCTTTTTGCTTTGAGTTGGGTAGCGCTGGTGGACGAAAGTAGTTAAACGAGCTAAATAAAACCCTGCACCAAATTGAGTGATCATAGGTGTATCCTCTTTGGTAAAACCACCTTGACTAATATAATTGCATTACGGATTGCAAAAATCATGCTTTCACTATAGATAGTTTGTGAGAAAAAACGTTCACTTCGTCGAAGGTCGCAAAATCATGTCGTACCCATACTCACTTCCGATTGTAGGTATACGGTAAGTTCCGACCAGTTCCAAAAAAACCTCTGATTATCGTTTCCAATTTGAAGCACTGATAGAATATATGTTCTTTATCTGCTAAGCGTTTATTGAAGGAAATATGAACGTTCGAGTAACACAACTTATTCAAGTTCTAAAGAGTTAAGCTCGTTCGCAGCCTGAAGACTCTCAATTGCAGTAATTATGACTATTCAATTACAGTGAGGAAGCACTCTTTATACAGAATTGGCCCATGCACTTTCGAACGCTCACAACTCCTTTCAGATAGTCGCTTAGCAGATAATGAACGTACATGCGTTTCATAACCATATACGACACCCCCGACTGCGATTTCCGGATTTACACAATAAATCAAGTACCACAGTCAGTGCTTGCGTGATCTTATGTATTGAATACAATGACATCTCAGTCAATATCTTTACTCTGTTTTTCCATATGTATAGAGAAAGTCCATTCTTCCAATGTTTCATAACTATACGACACCTTTAAGGTACTTTTTCCAAGGAGAAGAAAACGCAAAGCGCGATCTTTATGATTAATCAGGCTACCGGGCCTTTCTACCACTTCCAAGTCTACTGAAAATGCTTCTGACGAATTTATGCGTGTCTTCGGTTCAGTGTCGTCACATGCGTCCATAACAAACTGCTCCAACTTTTTCAATGCCTCGTACTGTTTGCATCTGCTCAGAAACGCTGTGCCAGTATTCTCCGGAGATTTTATGAAGGACTAGCTGGCTTACCCGGCTCCGCCGTATGTTCCGAATAGAAAATTCCATTTCTGAACCGATCGGGACCAAACTTGGCACACATACACTTCGGGCCCCGGCGGGTGTCACAGTCCACTTTCCGTTATCGATTGATGCCGATTTTATCGATTTTTTGCAAAATTTGAGCTACGGGGCTGGGAGTTGGCACAGGGGGGTAATCGAGCATGCTGATTACGAATACAATATTAGTTTTCGAAACCGTGCATTACTTTTATCGATTTTATCGATTTTTTTGCAAAGTTTGAGCTACGGGGCTGGGATTTGGCACAGGGGGGTAATCGAGCATGCTGATCACCCCCGTGGGGGTGATCAGCATGCTCGATTACCCCCCTGTGCCAAATCCCAGCCCCGTAGCTCAAACTTTGCAAAAAAATCGATAAAATCGATAAAAGTAATGCACGGTTTCGAAAACTAATATTGTATTCGTAATCAGCATGCTCGATTACCCCCCTGTGCCAACTCCCAGCCCCGTAGCTCAAATTTTGCAAAAAATCGATAAAATCGATATCGATCGATACGAAAAGTAGCCTATGACACCCGCCGGGGCCCGAAGTGTATGTGTGCCGAGTTTGGTCCCGATCGGTTCAGAAATGGAATTTTCTATTCGGAACATACGTACACACATACAGACAGACAGACATACATACATACAAACAGACATTCAGCTTTATATATAAGATTTAAAACAAGAGAGTATAGTCACCGTAACACAAGCTGCTCGTGACCTGGCGGAGAATGGCGGTAAATGACCCGCGTACATGTCCAATGCGTTGTGCTGCTTAGAAACGTAGTGCTGTCACCGGTGCTTGTGGAAGGAGAACAGTTCGTTGGCTTTCCAATACTTCTTGGCAATCTGGCGCAAATTTTTTCATCGGAATTTAGGCCTTTGAACTATGCAAAATGCTTCCAGATTATAGAGTAACCTCCGCTGAAGCTTCTCTTGTTAAAAAATGAGGACTTTGCTTACATCCGGTCAGTCCATCCACTGCCCGTCGCATTCGTCCAAACTAAATTTTTTGAATAGATTACACCACCAAATCATTGGCTCATTCTTCTGTCATCTTCTTTACAAAGTGCCTATAACAGCACAACGTTTCGCAGCAGCACACGCAAGTGAAATATACGCGGGTCACTTCCCGCCGTTTTATGTGAGCATCGCGAGCAGCTTCTGTAAAGATGACCATACTGTCTTGTCTTAATTTTTTCAGAAATTTCTGTAGAATGCTGACACAGCGTTTCTGAGCAGATACAAACAGTACGAGGCATTGGAAAAGTTGTAGCAGTTTGTTATGGACGCATGTGACAACACTGAACCGAAGACACGCATAAATTTGTCAGAAGCATTTTCAGTAGACTTGGAAGTGGTAGAAAGGCCCGTTAGCCTGATTAGTCATAGAAATCGCGTTTTGCGTTTTCTTTTCCCCGGAGAAAGTTTTGCTCAAAGGTGTCGTATAGTTATGAAACAGTGGAAGAATAGACGTGTCCTCACATGTAGAAAAGCAAGTGAGCAGATATATTGATCGAGATGTCATTTTATTCGATATCATATGTACACACAGCAACTGACTGGAGCACTCGATCTCTTGTGTAAATCCAGAATCCAAAATTTTGGAGGGTGTCGTATAGTTATGAAACGCACTATACAGGGTGTCCCAAAAAGATGTGCACACTGTTTGATTGTAAATAACTTTTTTGTGGTGAAGTGTTTCGAGAAGCTTTAGGTACCATTTTGTAGAGCGAGGTTCAGCTTAGATTTACAGTGTAGAGCGGATCGCCGATCTCTCATTCTTACTGTAGGATTACGGTAGAAACTTTGAGGAGGGTTTTGAGCCATGAAAGGCCATATTTTGTTCCAAAAAGAAACCAAAACAACCTGAAAACTCTCACACTGGGCTAACTAGAGTTGCTGTTTCTAAGTGTGAAGTTTGCAACTCTTCTTAATGCTTCATTAAAAAATTATGCGAGGTAAGCAGTAGCAGACGTTTTTTAAGTGTTCCTAGAAAGTGCGGTTACACCGTTTAGAAAGCTTTTCAACCTTCTAAAGAGTTGGGTATTGAACTCAGGGTCCATAAAAACCCTATTACACAAATTTCCACATTTTTTTGAAAATTTCTGAAACGGCCCCTTTTTTCACAGTGACACCATATGTTTGAAGTTTCTACCGTACTCCTACAGTAAGAATGAAAGACCGGCGTTTCGCTCTACACTGTAAATCTAAGTTGAACCTCGCTCTACAAAATGGTACCTAAAGCTTCTCGAAACACTTCACTACAAGAGAGTTATTTACAATCAAACAGTGTGCACATCTTTTTGGGACACCCTGTATATTAGAAAAATCAGCGCTCAAAGGCGAGAGCGATGATATACAGCTTGTTTAGATAGTAAACTTTCATTATTCTCCCTATGTGAGGTTCGAAAACCGACAGAAAACTGTTTAATTACCGCACACAACTACCCAGACAAGTATTACAGATATCAGAATGGTTACTACACGTACAGATTTCGTATGCTATAAAATGAGATATGGCGATGCGGCCCACATTTAACAAGTCCGGCAAAGGCCGCGGTTTTCTATTTCACAAACTGTGAGGTATTGAAATGCGAAAGAGCTTACTGTCTAACATCATCAGTGTAGGCTATGGTAAGAGAGTTGAAAAGTGTCTTTTTATCCTTTCAAAAGCTAGACGACAGTATATATTACACACATGGTCCAGGACAGTGGTATGACTTATTAGGTGCTGTGTCTACTCCCACTATTGGCTCGCCTTGCGACTGGAAGGGAGCAATCCTGCATCCAGATCCACAGAGTAAAGCTTATTTCATCCAGTGCAGTCCACACACATCAGGGTAAGTTTTTTTGGATTAGACGAAAGTCCAGAAGGATCTGCGTTCTAGAGCTTCATGTGGAGAGTGGACACGCATTGCATGCGCACCCAAGACGGCCTTCTCTCGATCAAGCGGAATATGTGTCTCAATCATTGTTCAGACAACAGCCTGTGACGCGCAGCAGGATCCCGTCTGTAGCTGTGCGCGAAACACTGGAGCTACGAGGTGCCCTGGAACAAGTATATGTAATAAGGTGGGAGCGATAACTTCACATCTTGAGAACTATGAAAAACTGAACATTTCAGAATGTATGTTGTCAGCCTCGTGAAGTACCGAATGCCTTTATCCAGCATGAGGCCCCATGTAAGCGTTTTGGTTTTGATACTCTGGTGTATTTATTCATAAATGATAATTGAAACTGACGTTGCAAAAGCTGTCGGCAGTGGAGGCGAGAGCGGTTAGGAACCGCATTTCTTACAAGCTGGCATTGGTTTCTTATCCATTTTTCGCGTAGGGAAGGACTTTCCCCCTCTCCGGATCCTTTTTGAGGATTTTTTAATGATATAAATGCTTTGCTTCAGTCTAGACGAACATTTTCATAGATACTGGAGAGGACCCTCCTCGCCACGTGTCAGGAGAAAAATAACATGTTTCCGTTCAGTTTGACATGCTTCTTTCAAAGTCATCTCCGGCGAGGTAGCATTTGAATCAGAAGCTGTCTAGCTGTCTGTTGTAAGCAAAACAGTCCTGAAATTTTGTGAGAATCTTTATCGCTTCCAGCTATGATACAAAAATATATTCCTTGAACTGAATTCTCCCCAATAGTTAGGCGGCACAAAACTTTTGGTAAAAATGTCAAATATGTAGTTGACTGTAGAATTTTTTGAAACGTGGCAGAGGTTCACGCTTCTTTTTGTGAAGTTGGGAGTAAATATAGTTCAAGCATATGAGCAATATTCTTTACTGAAATGGATTCGGACAGAATATACCCTATATATAGAATATAGAATATACACCTATCTTATCTATCTACTTCGGATAAAGAGTGAAGCACAGCGATGTGAATCTACCGGTGGAGCGAGAGGCTTGTACTATTGAAGATGTACGTACGAACGCAGTTGAAGTCGAAGCAGCCTGAAAAGAGATTGTGCATCGTGATAATCAGGATAATTGCTAGCACAGGATCAAATCTTGCTTCAAGCAGGAACAACTCATATCTATTATACATATCAAAATGTATCTGTATTCTAGACTCTCTTGTCCCAGGAACTGGGTGCTGCCCTGCGACTGTGAGAGAGCAGCCAGCAGTACAAATAGGTAAAATATAAGTTACTATACTCTTTCTCTCTCAATCATTCACTCCAGCTCTATGCCCTGGTTCATTCTCACCCCCGCTAGGAGCTTGTGGATCTTGCCCATCAGGAACATCATGTAACATGGCTATAAACGCGTGTTGTCCGTCATCCACCAAACTTTCTGTAGACTTGATCAACGATGTGGTGATGCTGTGTCCAAGCGAGTCTCTCAACTATATTACGCAATTCTGAATACTTTACCTAAATTTATCAAGCTTTCTTAGGCGGTGTGCCACCGTTACAACCTTGTGCGCGGGGATGTCCGCCAAATCATGGCTGCTTTCAAGGAGCGTGCTGTCCAATGAATTGTCCAGTTGGGCAGGTGAACCACAATAAAGAAAACGTCAAAAGCATCAAACTAGATCTATTTCAGACTCCACTCGGTTTTTGCTCCTCCGGTGTATGCCCACTTGGCGCAGCATGTTACCAGCCTGGCGGCAGCTGTTGCCAGGAAGTTGTGAAGCTTCCTGTATGTGCAAATGGACAGCAATCGCAACGAAGGTGTTCCATTGACCCAGTAAGTCTCATTTGATGCATCATAAGATGAACGGTTCCAGTTAAGAGTGGTTTCTAGGAATGCGGTCCACGAATGGAGTGTTCAAATGGCGGATGCTGCCCGATGCCGTTTTGTCCCACGGGTATTCAGGTAAAGGGCGATAGATATATTTCAAGTCTTCCAAAGAATTGTCAAAATTAGGTGAAAGGAGAGGAGAGGAGCAGAGGAAGTAAAAGAAGCGAGTTGTGTCAATCTTATTTTCCGCGTTCACGAGTCTTTGCTGGTCTAAAGGCTGAATTCAATGTCAAAGAAATTGGCCGTATTGAGGAAAGATAAAATTTTCCTCAGAATTAAGAAAAAGTTACTTGCTTCGCATGCTAAAAGAAAGGGCGAATCTTCTCGCGGTAAATTATCACAGATAGTTTTTTTTTTTCGAACAAAACCTAACAGGAAGTTATGTATTCTTTTTACAAGTGCTGCCTACAAACGTTTAAAATAGCCATTTTTATATGGCGAGTGACTACACCCCATTTGCGTACTCAGTCTTCGACATCCAACATTTTCGGATAGTGACACTGAAGTTCTGGAAAAAAGAACCCGTAATGTTTTCCCTTTCAACATCTCAACATCGTTGTCTGAAATCTTTAAACCTTCAATATTAGGTTGTAAAGAAAGTTCTGCCAATAGAGGTTGACTTGAATTGAATTTTTTGTTTATATCTTTTTCATGAGCAGCTGTCGATCAACGATAGTTTGGTCATACGTATTGATAACTTTAAACTACCGACTAAAAAATAGTTCCCACCAAAACCCACAGAACACCAATCCATGGACTATAGGTATAATTTAATCCATATTTTTATCCTCCTTCTTAAAGCTATATTTGCTCTCTGATCTACTCTGCCTTTCTTATGTTGTCGCCATGGTTTTGAGCAGAAGAACAGTAACGCCAAAGCTCTCTTGAATTCTAAAAATTTTTCTTCTGCTATTTTCGAAGAGCGCTAACAACTGTTATATAGAGCAAATCTTTGGCTACATTGTACTTATTTTAGATTACATGGGCCACGTTTACCAAGTCCGTAATAATTATTTATTTGAGAAAAACCGCGGCTTTTTGTTTACCACGTAAGGGGTGGGTGTGCCCCCTCCCCCCACCCGAGAAGTCGCGAAATTTTTGTTTACTTACATGGGTTATAAAAATGTGCAAGTGACTTGTTCGTTCCCGTAAATAATTAAAGTAATTCCTGAAATTTTTTAAGACTTCAAATTAGCCCTGTAAAAATTTCTTTCGGGGCGTGGCTGTCGCCACGCACCTTTTGACTTTAGGAGGTATGGGCCCGCAAAAATTTTGAGATGCACCCCAAAAAATTTTTTTGGAGTGCGCGGCTAACACCACGCACCTTCACTTAAAAACCACGGACGGAAATCCTGCGACCGCCTCTGACTCGTTCATAGTGAAGAATTATAGTTTTGAAATTGAATAAACGCATACCTATCTGCAGCTCTATACTGGGATGAAACTTTATAATAAATTTCGTCTATTCCCAGCGAAATTCTCACGCAAGGCCCTTAGGCCTAGTTGCATGAAAAAGTCCTTGCGCGAAGTGCCCTCTTTCAATAAAGCAAACATACCTGTGGTCAGATTTCTTGGCATAATAATAGTGTCTCACAGAATGGGCAGCGGAGCAGCTCTCTGAGAAATAAAGTTTTGATTCTGGACCAGCCAAGTCTTTTTACATGGTAAGAATAGTGGAAGAGGGGCTTAGAGGAACGGTTCTGATAGCTGAAAAGTAAGGAAAGGGGGAGGGGCTGAAAATGCTGGTGAATATGCATGTAATCCACAGTTCTAAATCCCTAACACTGTCTTACCACATCTCCTTTTTGGGCTCAAACGCGCTGCAATACCAACAATATGATGTGTGGCATGGGTCACGTATGTTTGGAAGGTCTCTGCTGCGCTCTGCCTCGGTGTCCAAATGGCATAATATCTTTGGGTACGTGCTTCTCATCTTTTGGCCCAAAGTAATTTTGGTCTTCAGGGATTTGCACAAGAACAGCTGACTGTGGACGCGTAGGTGTTGAATGCACTTCTGGGGCATGTTGTCCTCTACCAACCTGCCCAAATAACCAAGTCGCCATACAAAGGTTTGTTTTTCTTGCGATTTATAGTTTTCCCGACTCTTACTTACTGTGCGTAAATCTAGGCGAGGTTAATTTTCTGTAAACGACGCTGCATAGATTTGCATCTGAATTTTTCTGAATTGAGTTCTTGAAATTGGACATTTCTTTCGCAAATTAATTCGACAGCGGCAACTTCGCCTTACCCACGCCACAGTTAGTTCCTAAGTTTAGAAACGAAGTCCCCCTTGACTCCGCCGAAATTTTACGAAGTTTTCTGCAATTTTTCAAGGTCCCTACTAACTCCCGCTTGTTTCAATGTACTGTAAAGGACAGAACCTAGAAAACCTGAAAACGGAAAATACGACGAAATGAGAAAATAAGAGCCGAATCAGGATCAAAAGTCAAAGGAACGCAATGCTCAAAGCTCATAAGTCGTTCTTATTGGGGCGCGATATCTAACACAGTTATGTGGGGTCGAGAAGGCTCGCACACCGAGAAAATCCCATTTTTCAATCAGTCACTGTCTAAAATTTCGGATGGACCCCTCCACTAGTGAAAGAAGGCTTTGGAGACTGGAGGAGTTTTTGAAAGTGACTGACAGTCTCGTGCCTGAACAATGGCAGGTGATGGCAAACTTGATTAGAAAATGTATTATACAAACACGTCCTTCATAAAAAATAATTGAAATATCGACAATTTTAGATGCTCGAGAGGCTGCGCCAATTGCTGCCCCTTGGGGCATTCTTGTGTGAACGGCGGCTGCTGTCCTTTACCACAGTGTCCAACAGGTAGTCGATTACCTTTGCGATGAAATCACACAAATCTTGTTTGAGGCAACACTGCGCTAACTTTCTGTAGTCCTCGTTCGTGCTCAACTGGGAGTGAATGTGTGAATGGAGGTTGTTGCCCTTTGCCCCGCTGTCCGTCCGGACTTCAAGCTTTGCAGCGGTGCCAAATGGGCATGGGATGTGCGCCGGGACACGTGAGTTTTTAGAACAGAAATGTGATGAAGCTGAAGTCAATCGCTTTGTTTCACAGCAATGTGAGAATGGTGTGTGCTGTGCTATGCCGATGTGTTCAACGGGTGTGGTTGCCGCATCGGTATGCGGTGCTGGCAACAGCTGTCCTATAGGTTTCGTCTGTGAAGGTAAGAGGCATGATAGTAACTGCACTATAGGTCATTCATAAAATCGTGGCGACGGAATTGACTGCGGTCTTTGCGCGCGCAGGAGCATAGAACACTCATACAAAAAGGTTTCACGCTCAACTCAGTCACTTCCAGCGTATAGATACTATCATAGGTAAGTAGAAAAACCATAGGAGTAGGGATGAAAACCAAAAAATTTCAGAAGGCGCGTGCGTGTCGCGCATGGTCACGCCATCGTCACGATTTTTCGAATGCCCTATACTCATACGAAGTACATTCTTGCCTAAGGCTTGAATACTTTTCTTGATCTACTCTTACCTGATAGTCGAAGCATACAGGATGTCTAAAAAATGATCAAATATAATGTTCGAATTCTTGTACGAAAAGCTTTTATCTTTCACGAGCTGTATTGTAGAGCTGGCTTCAACTTAGATATCCAGTAAAAAACCGATCGCCGTACGCTCTTTATAAGTACGTTAGAAACTTCCAACATACAGCGATATTTTGATTTAGCCGCCTTCGGAAGAAATTTCTAATAATTGTGTACCAGGGATTTCAACAGCGCTGATTTCTAACTTTCTACGAGTGAAACTTTTTGGGAGATGTACATTTAAAAAACATTGCGAAAATCAATTACAGTATATTTCGCAAAGCTTGAAAATGAAGCATTGCAATTAAGTGCAAAACTCATATTTAGAGCAACTTTGATTACCCCGCAGTATGAGATTTTAGGCTGTCGGGTGCTTTTTGAAGGGCTAAAAACCTCTTTTGAATTTTCTATCGTAATTTTACGGTAATGAAGACGGAGCCTTGATTCGCTCCATCCTGTAAGTCTGCGTTACAGTTAGTTCTACAGCAGGGTGTTAGAAGGAAAGCTTATGTCTGAAAATACTGGGCAGATTAGACACTGAACGGGAGATACATTTCCTGGGGCATTCTGTATGTTTCCTTCATTATCTCTATCAGTTTACGAAACTCAACAGGAAGAGGATGCTGCCAGGAGCCGCCTCCAATCTGCCCCAATGGCGGTCGAGCATTTCAAAGATGCAGCCGAGGAACAGAGTGCCCTCCTGGTTTTGGATGCACACCTCTTGGTATGCAGTTTCTTTTGCTACTCAGCTCTCTTACACAAACCGTTGTAGGAGGATGTTGCCTGCTATCTATGGAACCAGTATGTCCACCGCAAAGTCATCCTATATGTCAGTGCTCACCGAACAGGGCTTGCCCTATGGGTGCAACGTGCACCATGGGAACGTGCTGTGCCGCAGGTCTTGTTCGCTTGAGAAGGATTAGGCAATGTTCCGGCAAAGGGTTTTCTTGCAGCTTCCGCCTTGGCTCAATTTAGTCAAATTCCTGGATCCAAATGCCAAGCATCAAGTCAATGCAATGGCTATATGAACTCATGCGCTCAGTGCACACAGGGAATTTGTGCCTGTGTGAACGGAGCTGCGTCGAATGGAGCCAGTTGCCTCCAAATGCCCGCGAAAACGTTGATCCTTGCTCGGAATGGATGTGATCAGTACGGATCGCCTTGCAACGTATACTTGTCATCAGCTCGCCGGAAACCAATAATCGCGCCTGTCGGGAATATCACGGAAACTCCTCGTGAGAATTAAGTTCCTGGACAAGATAATCAATGCAAATGGCATTTCAGTCTTTTTCAATGTCGCCAAGGAACGACATTGTGTATCCAACTCCACCATCCCAGACTTTGATCCCGATAGCACCTGCCTTCCTAATGAGAAATGCATCGATGGAATATGCCGCATGTGCGTCCAGAAGAAAAACCTTCATGCTTTACCACAAAATACTTTAGGAAACTATGGCCGGGCGAGTATGGTTGTATCAGCGATGAAGAATGTTCCTCGCGTTGTGTAAATACGTATTGTGAGAGGAAGAGGAGCGACAAAAACGTTGCTCAATGTCAGTGCCGCGATGGCTTGCTCCTCTTTGGGCGGTGCTGTAAGTTGACAACACCTTTTCAAAAGTATAGTCTAAGTATAGACAATTTATTGCACGCGGAGAGTAGACTTTGCGTTTGAATAAGCTAGTTCATGTTTGAGAGGAACAGCAGACGGTTAAAGGAGTGAAAGCGCATCTAATCTGAGAGACGGACAACGTCCGCAGTGGCGCCCTTCTCTGCGTGTGATGAATCGACTATACACTTCAATATTAGAATTCCACTTTTCAGTCTCTCAGTGCCCGCATGGTTTTCATGAATCGGGCGCTTACTGCATGTATGACAATGAAGATCTGTTCTGGGCAGATGGTGACGCCCAAGATCACATCAAAGCTCTCTTGAATGCTTCTCCATGCTGATAATTCGGCAGATAATTCAAGATGATGTCTGTCTATACCGATAATGTATTCTCAATTCGTGATAAGCAATTCCTGTCAAACAATGCTTTGTAGCATTGCCATGTTACTGTGTTATTCACGGTGCTTTCATTGTATTTCTTGCAGTACATCTCCATGGATATTCATCGAATTAATAAGATTTTCGAATTAGACATTTTTCCACTGAAATTTTGCTTAGTCTTATGGTTGACGGTTTGATCATGATATTAGAGAGGTGATGATATTATTTCAATCAGCTCAATGATGCACTAAGTGCTTCTCCTGGAATGTGCACTGCCTTCACTGGCGGTGGATAAGATTGAACTTTTTTGTTCGTTCTGATCGATCTATCATAAAGCAAAAATACTCTCAAAAAGAACTGTTCTAGGTAAGCATTGGATCGGATCTCTAGTATTGAGCTGCTGGTCAGCAAGAAAATGAGTACTCTTATAAAATGACTTTTTCATGTTTTTTGTTTTGCGTTTCGTGCAAGTTTAATCCCTGGTATAATATTAGGTTGGAAACTAAGTTTTGCAACTGGTCTCATAACTTCCCTCTCACTCAACATGGCGCACTCAAATTTTGCCACTGCGTTGGTTATTATGTAAGCTACAAGCGCAGCTGCTGTCCTATCAAGTTCTGACGTCGCAGTGAGGGTTACGGTAGGTGCATGGTATGAAGGGGAAAAATTCAAAGTTTGACGGATTTGGCTGAAACTTGGCCTAGGGGTGTTATCCGACATGCTGATCACGAAAACGATAGTGAAATTGCGTGATAAGGCCTTTTTTGTAGGACTACTGTAGGGGTACGATATGGGGTCTCACCCTAAACAAGGAAAAAGGCGTTGATTCAACAAATGAATGTGATATTCGCGTTTGGCAGCTCAAATAACCTTAATATGTAAAGTCTCGGCGGATTTTGAGCCTCGGACTCTCTAGTCATTGACGGTCGTCCCCAGCAGCTCTTGCGTACATCGACTCGTTCGACTTTATGAGGACGCCAAATCTCCACATGCCCCTAAATTGTGTTTCTTTTTTACTAGACTAAAGGACTCATCCTCCAGCAATAACTTGTAGACGAATCCGGATTACTGCGCATGGTCTAGGCTGCTAAAGGCTTCATTTTAGCTTAAAACCCCAAAAATTCTCAAATTTCACTAGTTTCCGAAAAACGCCTGAAACTTTTCTATTTCGTGTTCAAAATTTAGACAATTCGTGCTCACTTGTAGCTCACACTGCCTTCTACATAATGCCAAAGTTTGAGTGCGCCATATCCAAAGAAAGTGAAGTTATGAAACCGGTTGCAAAACTTAGTTTCCAGCCTAATATTTGTGGACTACTGCTATGAAAGAACTTTAGATGTCTAGCGACATTTAGTATTTTTAGGACCAAATATTGAAAAATCGTGAACATCAACACCTAAATTCATCGTGCGATGTGGATGTGTGTTATGACTGGTATGTAACATAGTACATCACTTGTCAGAACAACGGAGCCATGATCTTTTATTTACATTTCCTTAATGTGACAGTAGTGATCTGTAAAAAACTTGTGTGGTACTAGATTGTTAATACAATCCTCTATTCACCTCCAGTGCGTGTCGATAAAAGCGTTTAAAGGCACCGTCCACCTTAAGTTAAGGGTGTTGAGCTTTTAGAAGCATATGACAGTAGGGCCTCCCATGAAGCCAATGCCCAAGTCGCGGCGCAGAATGCCGATTCGGAAGCGAGGAAATCGCTTCGGAATAGCGAAGATGCACGAGGACCCCCATCCACGCCTGCCCACTTGTACGCGTGCATCCAATCACCGTTCTGGGAAGCCGGCCTGTGGGTTCTCTGGAATGGGGATTTTCGGGATCGCGGATTCTCGACTTCATATTTGGAATCAGGGACATGAGAAGGCTCTGAAACGACAAAAAGCTGGAAGTCGAGAATCTGGGTGGACGGTGCCTTTAACAAAGCGACGAAAATCCCACACATTCCACACAAATTCCTTCTGAGCTGCGAATTTCCTATTGCAAGTTGTGTAATTTGTATAAGTTTTAAGAAAACTTACTTGCTTGTGTCTCCGGTCTTTTTTAAAATAAAAAAGAGTAGAGCACCTTCATAATAACGGCTATTCAGCAAATCACTGATGTCTACATTCTTCTTTCGCTATCTAGTGTTTGCAGATTATCTATAGGGCATTCATAAAATAGCGACAATGGCGCGGACGTGCGCAACGCGTACGCACTTCCGGCATACGCATTTCGTTGGTTTGCATCTCTACTCGAATGGTTTTTGCATACATATGGTAGTATGAGACAATGGAATTGACTGAGCCTAGATGAAGTGGTGCTTTTTTGTAAATTTATGCTCATGTGGGCGCAAAGACCGCAGTCAAATCCGTTGTTATTTTACGAATGACCTAATATTACCTTAGCTGCATTACGTTTTATACTTATGTGGTTGAAAAAAACAAGTAGTTGCATTTCACTTCATCAGTTTCATAAGATTTATGTTAGTCTGATCTTCTAATATTCTCAAATCAAGTTCATATCATTTCACTAGTCCCTGCAAATCTCCCCCTTTCATTGATGGCTCATTGGACTTTGGCCTGATGATCAAATTTTGATCTATAGCAACTGCTTGTATATAGTAGCCGGTAAAGTATCAGGAAGAGAATGCTAGGCTTTCTCAGGCTGTGTCTAAACTTGCGGATGTGCCAGCACGACGCTAGCATGTCGTACCCATCGTAATTCCATATTGATTGATCGACGTGCTGGCACGGCGCCAGCTTGGCGCTGTCAAAGGCAATTCTGGAGGCAGCCTCTACTGGTATATAGGGTCGCTACAGTTGAGCAAAACTCCTTTTTCTTATTGCATATTTTGTAGCGATTTTGAGTATGGATATTGTCAGTCTGGAGTACAAATAAAGCGCGCTGCATTCTCACTTACATCCGTCGTCTACTGTATACCATGCGCTTTGGTCTATTAGAATTTTTGTAGAATAGTAAAATTATTCTTCTGGCAGCGGTGTCATTCACTTGAAAGTAGCAACGCAGGGGTCCTGCCATCTTAATAACTCTACGGTTTGGCTATGATAAGGAAAAAAGAAGACAAATAGCCATAGGTAGTTTGGAGAGTAAATTGATAGGTATGAAACTCATATTTAACTCCTAGTCCGTGCGCTAGGAGTAGTTCGAAGAGAATTTTTTTTTTGAAAAGGAAGCAAGCGACGATTTGAAACATGATGAAGTCGCTCTCAACTACGAAACTAGAGCCGCATCAAAAATGGCAATCGCACTTTCTGTCGTAGTGGTCATTGATCTCTTCCGAACTTTACACTTCTTTCATCAAGATTCATTACTACAGTTACAACGCCTGATCCGCAAGAAATGCTTGTACTCCTTTTTTTTCGAAGCCACTAATCGAGAACAATGCGTTGCTGTTTACCGATAATGTCGAGCTTCGCAATTACTCAGTCGGCACCTAGGCAACCGCATTGTTGCCACTGCTGTCAATATCGATCTCTTCAAAGAAATTTATAGCTTGAAATTTGCCTTCAGAAGCTCTACAGGATGTCCTGGCGCGCTCACGTTTCAATGTTTCGAATCATTCTTGAAGAATTAGGTGTGAGAGGCATCAATCTAGCAGATATCCTTCTGTTTAGCTCAAAGAAGCACCCTTTCATTTTCTTCCGAGCAAAACCATATTTTCAGAAAAAACACCCAGGTGCTATGCCAAAACTAAATGTATGAATTTCGCTGAATTGTCCCCAGTTAAGTTCCGCGTTTGGAACTAAGGTGAACCTTCTAAATTTTCGGCATTCCCTAACAAAACATTCATTTTTTGTTGATGTTTTTTGAGCAACCTAAAAATTCACAGATGTTCTGAATGGCTTACTCTTCAGCTTCATCTCGTAAAGGAAGGATTCTTCTTAATTCTTTCTTTAGTCTTCCATAGCTGGACTGTCGACGTAAAAAGATTACTCTATAGATTATATGCACTTTAGTATAGCAAACAAGATTTCTGACTCTTTGCTTTTTGAACCACGTACTTAGGTGAACTCTAGACAAAGTGCTGGTAAGTGCTGACAGACTTTTCTCAATTAAGCTGCTCTGAATGCTGTCCGTTCGAAGTTGAACCATGCTTGAAGCCAAGGTCATGTTGTTCAGTGCACACAATCGAAAGTGTGCGAAAGTCCATCTTACTTGACACATTGCTTTGTTACAAAGGCAAGTCCTAGAGAGCAAGGCTTTTTCCAAAATAATCTCTATTTCTGAAGCGAAGGGTGGCTTCCTTTACGACAACTCTTTATCTGCCCTCGATTTCACCTAGTTCCGCTCTGATCACTGATTGAACTGTGAGAGAAGCTTTTTTTTCACCGTTTTATTTGAAGAGCTTTTCTTCGAGGTCATTATTCTCTATGCATATTCGTGTTGCAAACAAATGTCAGTCGCTACGTTACTATGGGCTACCATTCCAAAAAACTTATCTCAGTGTAGCATAGTCGCACTTAACAACGTTTCGTTGTAAAAAAAAACACAGAATAGGCCAGCAAAATTTTTTTGATCAGCTGAGTTCGGGCGATTGAGCTTTTGAAAGTGATATTGAGGGGTTGCTCTTTAGATATTAACATTGAACGGACGACAAAGCACGGAAAGCCCAAAATGATTTTCGAAGGACATGTTTTGCAGATTCTCCTTGAGACAGAATTATTGTTTACTAATAAATCGGAATGCAAGTTGCCAGCGCTGCATACGATCTCGTATAATTATTTATTTCATACTATTTTCACTCAGGTTATAGCCGAAACGGCTATGTATGTAGATATTTATATTTCTTGTTAGCAGATGATTGGCTTGACGCCTCCTCTTTATTATTTTTGAATCGTGAAGCTACTGGAAAAATCATGTCTGGCGCATATGAAACGAAGCAGAATGTTCCGCATCAGCATGTTATGCAATCACTATGGCCAACGCAAGCACCTTTTCCACAATGT